GATCCTTGAACAACACAGGTTTGCACTGTGCATATCCACTTACACATGGGGTTTTTTCCCCAATATGTACAGTGCTGTAAATCTATTTCCTCTTCCTTATGATTTTCTTAACAGTTCTGCCCTAGCTTACTTTATTGTAAGGATACAGTATATAATACATATAACATACAAAATATGTGTGTTAATTGGCTATTCATGTTTTCAGTAAGGCTTCAGGTCAACAGTAGGCTATCAGTAGTTAAGTATCAGGGGAGTCAAAACTTATACGCGGATTTTCGGCTGCAGAGGCTCGGCACCCCTAAGCCCCACGTTGTTCAAGGGTCAAACGTAGTGAGTATCAGCTTCCCCAGAGGGCTCTGTGTAGGACTCATCTGTGAATACACCGGGGACTCTAGTCTCAGCTCCCCTGATGACACTTACATTAGACCTGGCACCGGAGAGGTTCCACGTTTGCAAGAAGAACAGTCGGAATCTCTAACCTCGCTGTCCTTTTCCTTCCCCCTCTCCCTTTGGGGTGACATAAATGGCCTAGTAAGTTGTTTGTATAGTTGGTCACTTAGGAATGTTTTTTTTGTTTTTTTTTTAATTTTCCGGAATGAATCAGACCGTTAACTCCATCAAGAGCACGGATTTGTCCAAACTCACGCTCGGCCACGCCTTCCACATTTCTCCACCTTGGGACAGGTCGAGTGGACTAGAGCACTGATATTTCGAAAAACTTCTCTGCCAACAGCAAGGCCGGTGTGGCCCCGGGAGGCTAGCTGATAAGCGCTGCCATTTACTGCATTCTCGATGTGTGCTTTTTACTCCATAACTCATTCAATCCTCCTAAGGACCCTTTGAGGGAGGGCGTGTATTTTCCCATTTTTGTAGATGGAAGAACCTGGGCACAGAGGGATCACAGGACTCTGCCAAGCCCGCTGGTAATAAGCAGCAAAGTTAGAGTAAATCTAGCACCTGCCTCCAGGGCCTTCGTCCTTACCCACAGGTATGATGGCCTCCCCCGCCGGGTCTCCAACCTCAGCTCCCAACTCCCCCTTTCCCCCTCCCACTGGCCAAGCCTCACCCCCACACCTCATGGTGTATCCCCAGGACCTTGAACCATGCCAAGCGCACAGGGATGTTCACTATACACCGGGCGAAAAATGAGGAAATGGCCACACGTGCCAGGCAGCGGATATCCACTATCTCTTACATTCTCCTAGAAACATAACCAAATGACTATTTTTAGTCTTGCTTTACACGCAAGAGGTTAAGTATGCCTTCAACCCACAGAATGCACACCTACTGTTATGTGCCTGGCGTTGTTTCCCACATGCTGGGGACACAACCGTAAGGTACGTGAACTCTTGTGTTTACAGTGCCCCCATTCCAGCAGAAATGCAGACAAGCACATGTCTGTCACACTGATCTTTTCAAAAGTCAGATCTGATTACGTCAGGGCCCTGCCTAAAACTCTCAAGCTCTCTCAGGACCAAAACAGAATTGCGGACGATGTGGCTGGCAGGAACTGGCAGACCCTGCGAAGGCTTCGGATTTTACTCCAAGGGCACGGGAAGCCACTGAAAGAAAAGGGAAGTAAAATCGAGAAAGAACTACTGAACTTCACGATTATCTCCTCAAAGATCTCATCCTGGCCAAACAAAGAGGACATGGAAGACTTGACGACGCTGTGGTCCTTCAACTTCACGCAGACAGACACCTTCCTCTTCAGTGTCCAGGCTATGACCATGAGAATCAAAGCTGTCACTGATGAGAACGTTTGGCGCTGGGCTAGCTGTCATCCTAGCAAGCTTCACCCCTTTAGTTGTTACTGCCTTTTCTTTAAAAAGAACAAACTGAGACTCAGGATGGTTAAGTAGCCCGCCTGACGTCACGGGGCTAACAGTTTGTGTCCCTACCCTCCCTCCAGACTACACCGAGGCCAACGGGCCATTTGAACCTGAGGTCAAACCTCAGCTCTGCCACCAACCTAAATTTCCTCACTTCTAAAAATCTACACTGATGTACATTTCTAGACACTCTATTTCCTGAATGTTCACCAGTCGACCGTGTGCAGCTCTGGGGCAAGGGTAAAACATCCTCCCCCTAACCCTCCTCCCCTCCCCCCATTTCTGGACCAGCAAGAGTTTACTTGGTCGCCCCCGGGCTAGTCCCCTCCCTCCTCCCTCCTCGGTCACTCCCTTGCATTCTTGGTGTACCTGTGTACTTATCGGTCTTCCCCAATACACGGCAACTCTCCTTTGAAAGCAAGGAAGAAAGGTCATGCAAATTCACGTCCCAACAGCAATTAGCAGAGTGCTTTTTGCATAGAGCTGGGAGGCAACAAATGTTTATAAAATGGAGGTGTCCTGGACTAGGTCTCACAGGCCTTTACATGGCCCCAGGAGCTAATCAGTTAGTAGATCTACAGACCCTACTATCATCCCACGAGCTCACACACACACCCTTTCCTTTCCGTTCCGTTCCCACTGTCCTTGTTTCTTGTTTTCTTCTGATCTGTATAATAATCTCATAACCAGTTCTCTTGAATCTGTCTTCTTCCTAGCCCAGAACAGCTTTTTCCAAACCCCACTAATAACCATCCTACAACTGCCCTGTGCAAAAAAATCTCAAATTTTACCAAAATAAGTCAAAATAAGTTTCCTCTCTTAGGATGTAAAACCACACCGTGGCCCCAGCCAACCTTTTAACCAGATGCATTCCAGAAATATATACTGACAACTCCTTTGTCCCAGCCGCTTGGCTAAATAGTGATTAAAGAGAGAGGTACAAAACAAATTGTATTTCTGCCCTCGTGGAGCTTATATCTTAATAGGAGAACTATAGACATTAAACATATTTTTTTAAAAAATAAATAGATAAGCATATAATTATAGTACCTGCCCTAGAGTAATAATCAGTCAAGGTACACAAGAAGCACACACAAGGGTATTCACTGCAGCACTGTTTATGATAGCGAAGAATTAGAAATAACCTGCATGTCCATCAAAAGGAAAATGGCCACATAAACTATGGTATATCTAAATTTAAGAATACAGACAGCGGTCAGAAAGAACGATAAGTGGCTAAATCACCAGGACATTGTGGAGGAAAAAATAAAAGAATCAAGCTATGCCGTTTTTTTTAAAGCACACACACTATATTTTCTAAAGGAAATATATGAACATGTATAATATATAACTATGTGTCTGTATATATGTATACACATAATACATACCTATGTTTATATATACACACATAAGAAACATGGATGCCGATCATTTCACTGTACAAATATTGAATAATTACACTGTGCGCCTGAAACTAATGTTCTATGTTAATTATCTCTAAATAAATAAATGAGAAATAAATACATATGCAAATACCTTAAAGTTGGGAAGACCCCATACCAAAAGTGGTTAATTCTTACATGTGGGCAAAGATCCAGGTCAATATTTAGTGGTGGCTAAAGGTTTTGATCTTTTTACATGTAAAACATTGATATTTCACCTGTATAATTAAAACTTAGCTTCCCATTAACACAATTCCATACTGTGCTCATGCTGTGTTCAAAAATGAAAAATAAAATGTTTAGGGTTTCCATATGCTTTTTGATAAACATCTGATAAACCATTCTCTGCTTACCTATCTCCTTGCTCTGTGCCTGCTCCCTCGCTTACCCTGACGTGAATCTCCCCAAACCACGTGCCATGTACATGCAAAAATTAATCTGCACCCATCCTACACATCCCCCAAGGTCTCCTCCAAATGCCACCACTCTCTTTGTTCAGTCATCCTTTGTTCAGGGCCTCCATTATGACATTTGCTGGGTTATGCCTCGCCCTGGATATGTGTTTGTCTTACCGCCTGACCAGGCTACATGCTCCTTAAAGGGAGGGCCAATTTCCTCCACGTGTGGCTTAGGGCCCGCACACAGGAAGTGTCCCCATATTTAGTTGTTCTACTTAATTAAATAAACATGCCCTCTGGGTTCTTAAAATTCACTCATTCATTTACTTTCTCACTCCACAAATATTTACAAAGCGCCTACTGTGTACCAGCCACTGTACTAGGTGCTGGGTATGCAGCAAGGAAGTAAACCTATCAAAACGCCTGTCCCTGTGGAGTTAACGTTTAATATGATGGTGTATTAAATGATAAATGCTGTGGAGAAAAATAAGGGGGGGGCAGGTAAGGGGTTGAGAAATAGAGGAGGTGGTTGGGGGTGATGTTCGATAGGCTAGTCGGGGAAGACTCCACAGGTGAGGACGTCTGAGTAAATATCTGAAGGGGAGACAGTGTGAGCCATGCGGAGTCCCAGGCAAAGAGCATCCCAGGCTAACGGACTGGCATCCGAAGAGCGCGAAGAGGTTTGCCCAGCGGCTCAAGGAAGCCAGCATGGCATTTTGGCAGGTCTGGAGTAAGACGAAGAAACAAGTCAGAAAATTAAGAGGGAGGAGGGAGATGCTGATCGCTCACGGCTGGGCCACTGGGGCGTTGTAAAGGCTGGATTTTACTCTGAATGGACTTGAGAGCCCCTGAATGGTATTAGAATAATAATGACCTGGCTTGGATATTAAGAGGTTTATTAAGCGGACGGATAAAACCAAGGATACTCCTAAAACAGCAATGACGAAAGTCTCCTTTGCCGAAATCACTCAGATATTTAAGGGCGTCCATATTTTCAGGTTACTTTTACAACAAGAACAACGATAATGGTAAGAAATAAGGATAAGAATAGAGGAAAATAATACAATTGACTGAGCCCTTGCTGTGTACCAGTCTATCTCCACATCCAATTTATCCAATCACGGTGTTATTTAACTCACTAGGCAGATAAAACTGTAACCACGAGAGATTAACTAGCTTTCTGACTTACTAACTTGTTACTCGAGGTTCTACAACAAGAATAAAGTGGAATTCTAGCCCAATCTAACAGCCCATGCTGACTCATGCCATTCTTTTTGTACTAAGCGGCCTTCGGAGAATAGAGAACAATAATAGCGATCGTTGATTAAGTATTTATTAGAGGCCAAGCTCACTATATGCATCACGTCTGGATACCCAGGCAGAGTCAGGACCCCTGAGTTCTTTCTGGGTTCGAACCAAGGCTCTGGGCTGCCTACCAGCTGTGTGGCCTCTGCCAACCACACTTGAGCTCCCTTTGCCTCTGTTTCCCCATTCTACAGTTGGAGGTAAGATTACTCACTGACCAGTGTATTCGGGAGGAATCAACAAGTCCTCACTCATAAAATGCTTCCGGGAGAAGTTGGCACATAGTAAGCACTCAATTAAGACACGCTATTATGATAAAGGCCATTGCCCAGGGCACAGAAGCTCAGCACGCAAAGCCACGTCTGTTCTTAACCACTGCAGGGCCCAGCCAGGGGCTTTACTGGAACAGTGAAGCGAGTATGTTTCTAGCGGGCGAGGGACACAGTCGGATTTGGACCCGGATTTGTCCGCTCCAGGACCGGAGTAGCTAGTTCTGAATCAGCAGCTGGAGTCTAAACCACCCAATATAAACACAACAAGAAAGATACCTGGATCTGGGTGATCCTCAGGAAGTGGGGCGACGACCCGCCTTTCCGTGCTCCTTGGGCATCTTCTCGAAACAGGGCGTCGAGCGAGATCCCAGAGACCGCGGACGCAGTGAGCGTGGGTGGGGCGGGGAAGGATGAGCTCCCGGCGGGTAAGGTGTGTCCCCTCAAGCCACGCCCCCAGGCAGGATACTAGGATGGGTAAAATGCAGGAGAGCAGATTAGGGTCAGAGCCACACCCTCGACGGGCGTAGAGTGAAATGACCAAAAAAATCAGGAGTCTAGACTCAAGCTCAGCCAGCGGCTCTCAGCGTCAGTGGTGTGGTCCATGCAACGCCTTGACCCCTACACGTGGAGCCCGCTGGGCTTTTTGCTCAGCAGCTCCCAAAACGAACACAGGTAGTTTTCTCAGAAACCAGAACTGAATAAAATACGGCCTTCAGAGCCTGCCTGGATCCAAATCCTGACTCCATTGCTCCGCTGCCGGGAGACCTGTGGCCAGTGGCCTGTAAAATGGGAATAATAATGTCGCCCAGAGCATCTGGGGCTTCTGAGCATTAAATGAGCTGATGGCGGTGAAACCTTAAAACTTTCCCGCCTACGGCGACCACTTAATAAACATTAGCCAAAATGACATTAGCCATTATTCTCCCTGGATGTCTTCCTGTTCTAAAACAACCCTTCGAATTAACTAAAAATCCCTTTGGCTCCTTTGACAACTTTTCTTTTTAATGTGGTTATCACATTTTGTTGAGATATATATATGTATGTGTGTGTATATATATATATATAATATATATAATATATATACATATATATACTTTTTTAAAAAAAATACCAAGCCTGCATGTCCTCTTAAAAATATTTTAAGAGATTATGTTTTGTTCCCACTTGTTTTGAAAAACGACTCAGCATCATCATCGAGTGGGATTAAAACAGTGAAAAGCAAATGAGGACAATAGGATCATCTTTCCTGAACTTTCCTCCCCCCTCAAAAAAAATTTATTATTAAAGATTCAGATGTTGGGCTTTTAAAGACCATCTTGCTAAGTATTTTCTTATCGAGTTCCTTTTTTTTCCCCTCCCCCATAAACACGACGGTAGAGATAGTTCT